AGTAAAAAATTTGAAAAATTTTGACCGTTGAACTATGCTCCACACCACATGGGCTTTGTTGTCACACTAGTTTGTCCGGCCCATTACAAGTAGCTGATTTAGTACAATAGAAACTTGTGGCTATGGGGACGGCCCCACCAATATCTTGGCTGCCACTTGGCTTCACGAAACGCCATAAATTATCTGCATGAGAATCTGGGTTTGAGCAGAAGGACCAATAGGATGCTGCTGACGTGTAGTAATCCTGATCCACTATATCTTTCCATCTCCAATATAACCTCCATCTTCACTACCATCATCCTCGTCTAAAACCAGCCAGCCTTCAGCCCCCCTTAAGAAGCTTCACACACAAATATGGCCACCTCTGCTATCCAACAATCCGCCTTTGCAGGCCAGACTGCCTTGAAGCAATCCAATGAGCTTGTCCGGAGGGTCGGCACTTTCGGTGGCAGCCGCTTCACCATGCGGCGGACAGTCAAGAGTGCTCCACAGAGCATATGGTAAAGTCCCTTCCATTCTCGCTTTAGCTGTTAGTTGTAGCTGTTTGCATAGGCTTCCTCCACCGCTAGCAGATATTATCCTCTTTGGGTGTTCCCTTTTGGGCTTGCTCTCAAGGTTTTTAAAACGCGTCTGGTACGGAGAGGTTTTCACACCCTTATAAAGAATGTTTTGTTCTCTTCTCCAACCAATATGAGATCTCACAATCCATCCCTATGGGACCCGCATCCTCACTGACACTTGTTATTCTCTCTGATCGATGTGAGATCTCACATAATAACAGTTTAGAAAAAATTAGTACCTTTTTCTGCATCTTCATGTCCCAGGTTGTCTCTTTGGCCATTTTTACCTTGTGCAGTAATGTAGGGTGTTTTCCTGCAATGAACATGAGAAGTTAAAAAAAGATCAGTTAAATCAGCACAGTCTATTTTAAAGATGTTTAAACATTTATTGAATTGACTTGTGAGCACAGTTAAGTAGGAGGATTAACCCAATTGAGGAGTAAATTTTCATACATTGGTGATCTAAGAACACAGAATTGTAAAACGCCTGATTTCTTTACCTAACAGGTATGGGGCAGATCGCCCGAAATACTTGGGACCATTCTCTGAACAAACACCATCTTACCTGACTGGAGAGTTCCCTGGTGACTATGGATGGGACACAGCCGGTCTGTCAGCCGATCCCGAAACATTCGCGAAGAACCGTGAGCTCGAGGTGATCCACTCCCGATGGGCCATGCTTGGTGCATTAGGTTGTGTCTTCCCTGAAATCCTTGCAAAGAATGGTGTCAAGTTTGGTGAATCAGTTTGGTTCAAGGCTGGTTCTCAGATCTTCTCTGAGGGTGGTCTAGATTACCTCGGCAACCCAAACCTCATCCATGCTCAGAGTATCCTTGCAATCTGGGCTTGCCAGGTTGTGCTGATGGGCTTTGTTGAAGGATACCGGGTTGGTGGCGGTCCCCTTGGTGAAGGACTAGACCCAATTTACCCAGGAGGTGCCTTCGACCCGCTCGGATTGGCAGATGATCCAGATGCATTTGCTGAGTTGAAGGTGAAGGAACTAAAGAATGGAAGGCTGGCAATGTTCTCCATGTTCGGATTTTTCGTCCAGGCTATTGTCACCGGAAAGGGTCCTGTTGAGAATCTCTTTGACCATGTTGCAGATCCTGTTGCCAACAATGCATGGGCTTACGCCACCAACTTCGTCCCCGGAAAATGAAGAAACGTGTCGTAAAAAACTCTGTTTTACCATGCTCACTCTTCTCATGTTTCCTGAAAATCTTATGCTGTGAACTCCATTAGTGCTGATGTCATTTCTCTAGTAGAAACATCCATTAAAGTTCAAAGTTCTCTGTGCTATGTCTTCTTTTCACATATAGAATTTCAGCATGCATCTTGGCAAATGTTGCGTCCTATTCACAGTTTCTTTTTTCCTAAAAAACACAGATTGATTGATGCGTAGGAAACATAAGAGGTTGAAGAAGAATTTCAAACTGAAAACCTCATATAGCTTTCCAAGAAAGACGTACTATGCTTATTGCTTAAGATATATTAACTTGCAACTGTCGAATTTACCTGGCATCATGAGGACAAGGAACAGGAATTGTAACCTCCCGGTCTGCTGTAGTCAGCCTCACGGTGTGCCTGACTGGTGAGTCTGCCGTCTCCACGGCTTTCCCTTTTGTGTGCTGCTCCTCAAGCCTTTGAGTGTCGATCTTCGCTTGGGCCGGCTCCGAGGCTCTACCCTGTCTTTTCATTGCTTCCTCCCAACCTGCTTTTTTTCTCATATCGCGCACGCATCTTCGAGAGAGGGGCCCGAGTACATAGATGAGGCGGTCCCAGGAGTGAAAGACCATTCCCTTGTGCTCTGGAACTCCTTTACATTGGTTGTAGAAAAAATGTTCAATCTTGTGAAAACATAGCATAGGCGAAATCTGGCAACCCACCCAGAGTTTGACCTTCTCTGAACTTTCCTTCTCCCAGCGGGATAAACATGATGCTAGTTGCTCAAGCAGGAAGGAAAGATTTACCACCAACTAAGAAGAGATGAAGTCACCAAAAATCCTTACAAGAACATGACCCACTTTTAAAGTGATGGAATCGACTACCATCTCTGATAATGATCTCACGGTTATAAATATCAGATATAAATTTAGTCACAGCATGGCAATCGTTGCAAATACGAAGATTCTTTATAATGCGGATAGGACTTCCATGCTTGATATTAAGAAGACCAAAAGCTATTGCTAACCTCTCACTGTGAGTTTCAAGTTCTGCTTCTTTCTCATTATCCTCTTCAAGGCATAACAGAACTTGCGTCGTGTCGGGAACGTGTCCCGCTACATTCAACTTCTCTTTCATCTCATGCAGCTTGACGTAGATCTCTTCGGTTTGAGGATGTGACCTATCTCCCACAATGAATTCATGGATTGAACCTTGATGCTCAATGGAACTGCATCCTGGATCCTTTCTGATTCCTTTTTTCTTCATCATTTCTCTAACTTGACGAAAATTTTCCCACAAGCCAGTTGCAGCATACATGTTCGAAAGAATAACATAACATCCAGTAGTATCCGGTGCTAAATCCATCAGATGATGAGCTGCATATTCCCCCATTCTTGTGTTACCATGTTTCCTTGAACCACTTAGCAGACTCATCCAAATTACATAGTTTGCTTTGATGGGCATTCTCTCGATGGTATCCTTTGCCTCTTCAAGGTATCCAGCTCGACACAGAGCATCAATCAAGCAACCGTAGTGTTCAATAGAAGGCTCAATTCCAAAATCATCTGTCATTGTTTTGAAGTACCGACGTGCCTCTTCGGCAAATCCTGCATGACTACAAGCATTCAACACTCCAATGAAAGTAATAGCATGTGGCTTCAACCCAGTTCTGCACATTTCATCAAACAGCTCAAGAGTTTGCTCCACCAAACCATGCATTCCCAAGCCTACAATTATAGCCGTCCAATGCCCCAATTTCCTTTTGGGAATAGACTGAAAAACTCTGAGGGCATCCTTAATGCTGCCACACTTGGAGTACATTTCTATCAGCGATGTGCCAAGCACACCGTCTGTTTTGAATCGATTTTTCACTATATAGGAATGAACCCATCTTCCATTCCCAAGACTAGCCAATCCAGAAGCTGCAGAAAGAGCTCCAAGGAGAGTGGCATGATTGGGTGATATATCTTCCGTCAACATGACCTCAAACAGCTTCAAGGCTTGAGTGAACTGCTTGTTCAGCTCATATCCAGTGATCATTGAATTCCATGAAACGTGGTTTCTCTCTGGCATCCGATCGAATAATTCTCGTGCCGTGTTAAACTTCCCAGCTTTCATGTAGCCATTAATCATAGCATTCCAAGATATAGAATTTCGAGTAGGCATTCGATCGAACACGTCTCTAGCAGCCTTGAGCTTCCCACTTTTAGAAAGCCCATCAACCAGAATAGTCCATGAGAAATTATCCTTCTCAGGCATTTCATCAAACAACTCCAGTGCAAGTTCAATTTCACCACATCTAGCATACCCATCAATCAAAGAATTCCATGATACTACATCCTTATCTTCCATTCGATCGAACACTTTCCTACACAGCTCAATCTCACCACATTTAGAATACATATTAACCAAACTACTCAAAACAAACTTATCCACACCAATCCCAATTTTCAATATCAACCCATGAATCTGTTTCCCTTCCTGTAGTGCACTCAATCGAGCACAACCCTTTAGAACACAAGGCAATGTAAAAGAATCAGGCATGAACTCACAGAGCAATTTGCAGAACAACGCAATGGCATCATTTGAACGTTGATTCTCAATGTAGCACTTGATGAGCATATTCCAAGAAACCAAAGTGGGCTTTCGAATCCAGTCAAAGAGGGACTGAGCATATTCAAGATTGTTGATTCTGGGATTTGCATAGAGAGCCAAAAGACGAAGAGATATGGAAGGGTCATTCAATGAGCCTGTTTTGACCGAGAGAGCGTGGAATTGCTTCGCTTCTCGTTCAGTTTCGCAGTTTTGAAGAGGAAAATGAAGGTTGCAAGGAAGAAATGGCAGGAGGGAGTGTGAAAGTGTAAGAGACGGCATCATAATTCTATTGGATCGAACCAGAAATCAAAGAATGGAGCTCCGTTATGAACACCCAGATGAGATAATGATTAAGAAAACCCCTTCGAAAATTTAAAGAGATTTAAAAAAAATAAAAAAATATATTAAATTTCATTAATACTAATAATTTATTTTTTAAATACGCTCGTATATTAATAGTAGGAGCATTTTATTTTTTTAAAAGTATTAATAAAAGTTTTAAAAATCTAAGAATATATTTTTTTTACAATATTATTTAAATTTTAAAGATAAATATACATAATTTTAAGTTAAAAAAATATTTTATAAACAGAGATATATATTTTTAATTTAAGCGAAAAATAAATTCTAGATCCTTCCATTCACGCTGCCCAATCCCCATTTCTATTTAAATCATACTCTCCACTAGCCGCTCGTTTCATTCACTTCGTCTTTACGGCTTTACCGAGCTCCCTTCTTCGGGGTTTATCCTTTTCAGATCTGAACTCTCATCTTCATCGCTGTTCTTCTTTTTTCACGGATTTATCACAGACTAATCTCTTTTGCAGATCCTTTCCTGTTTTTTTCTCCTTGTTTTGTGAATTTATTTTGAAATGGATGTATTTGAGGCTTCATAATCTGGTCAGTGCGGATTTGATCTGTTCCCATTTGACTCGTTCCCTTGAAGCAATATCGATCGTGATACTTTTTCTCAATCTCTTCCTTTGCTTTCTCTTATAGCGCTTGGGAGAACACTGGAGTAGCTACATGTTCTATATCTTTCTGCTTTCTCTTCATTTTGTTCTGGAATTTCTGATTGAAACGATTTTTTTCTTCGTAACGGTGATGAGCCTTTTGCAGACCTGTAATGATTTGCGAATATGATCGCAATATCATACGAACATCTAAGGGACTGAGTTGCTTAGATTTCTTTGACTTTTTTTATTTCTCGGTTTGATTTTGATTTCGATTCCTTTAATTCCTAAATCAGAGTAAAAACCCTAATGGAAAAGCGTAATGAGCGCTGAACACTCGAGAACGGTTAGTTACCGATTGATTACATTTTCAAGATGTATTCCTATTTGGTTGCGATTATCAAAACGGAGGCGGAGAGCAATATTAGTGGAAAACCCGAACTTTTCGGGGCTTCTAATTTAACGCCAAAATATACTTAAATAAATTGAAAAAAACACATTTTTTGCGCCTTTATCAAAGGTAAACTATATCATTTTGCATTTATATTAATCAGATTTGATTGAAAAGGCTTGATAAGGGGAATGATCATGGTGTATAGAACGATTTAAGTCGTATTAGAGCTAAGATGATTAAATCTCTCCTTAATTTGACATGGGAACATTTTATAATCTCCTATTCTTAAAAGATTTAAGATTTTCAAATTTTAATTTGGAACAAGATTGAAACAAATAGAACAAATTTATAACGAAGAAGAACTGCGAAACTTTACAGTAGATTGAACGCTGCGGCTCAAACTTTGAGTGACATCTTTGGTCATCTTCTACTCTTCAATTGCCTAATTGGAGGATGGGGCTTTGGTTCCCAATGACCAGGTTGGCCAGCCCGATGATCTCTCATGCCATAACCTCACATATGCCATAGCCTATATAGCCTGTTTGCTCTTCTGGGTTCTCGCCAAGCCCCCAATTTCTCATCGGTGATGTACCCTTCGTCTGCCTCTTCAATTTCGAATTGGTCACTGAAATCTCTATCGTTCTTTCCAGTTCGAAATGGGGATGTAGTTCTGAGCTTTAATCTCCCTTCCCATCGTGTAGTGAAGATCCTCGAAAAGCACGACAAGGATTCGTCTTGAGCTTCTTCTTCTGGATTTCTCAGAGGCATTTTGTCAAACATGATATGTGCAGACCATGTAAGAATTCTAATGATCAAAACATGTAGACGCAGTTAATTCACTTTGTATAGATTTAGTACTCCTTTGATTCATTTGGGCAAGTTTTATAGTCGGTTTAGTACGAGATGTATATTGAGATGCTTAACAGTTTCATTATGTGATGCTGGTTGTTCTATTGAGGCATTAGAGCTTCTGAGAAGTCAAACTTACAATTTATTGATGAAATGGACACAAAAAGATTAACCCCTGATGAGATAACTTCTACTTCTCTCATTGATGGTTTTGTTGTACTTGCAGAGTTGATCATGCATTCCTTCTTTGCAGGTGTATGATTGACGTTGGCGTATTGCTGAAGTGAAGGGATTGCAAAAGGAAAGGCAATTGCATAGAGAGCACCACGTAAACAATGTATAATCTCCCTCTCATATGTGCACTTTGCAAAGCAAAACTCAGACAGCAAGCTCAATGTCTGTTTAAAACAATGCTGGAAAAGCATTGGAATAATGACGAGGTTGTCTGGACAGTGGTTCACTTACTTATTTGAACAACCAGTGTTCTCAAGCTTCCAATATAATAATGGACCTTGGTTTTATGGGATCCAATATGTCAATCAATTTACCTGATGCCATATCCCATCCTGAAATGCTCTCAAATGTATATGTTCATATGATCATACTCTGCAATGTTCTCAGATGTGCACACTGTCGATAACCATATATATTTTGAAGCTTTTTTGCAGAATATGTTGATACCCATCATTCAGTGGACTCATGTGGCAATTTGAAGCTTCTGGGATGAAGTCATCATTCCCTTGGCCTATGCTTTCCAGCAGATGTTGATTTGGGACAGTAAGGACATGTTTAGCTGATGGGTAATCTTCCTCCTTCCTCAATAATTGTATCATTGTTAACTGTATTATAGTCCTCTTTCTCTTTCATGTATTATATTGAGGGGCCCTGATTAAAGTCATCTTTAATGCAAAATATTCCTCCTGAACCTTGTCTTTTCCCTTGATTCTCGCTTCCCCTGTCCCTCTCTACACAACCCCATTCAAAAGCCATGAAAAAAATATATCTTTGGGGAAGGAATTTAAAATGTTGGAGGGTAATTTAGAGTTACGGTGTCTATGTGATATATTTGAAGGTTTATTTAGTGCCTTCTCTTTGTGAGTGAGTGAGGGAAGAATAAGTTTAATGTATCAATAAGTGGAAGAAAATAAACTTAGGATTCCCCTAGTATGTTATTTTTTGCTTTTCTTTTTGTCAAGAACCAAGTTTTTTTACCGCTATATATAGTTTAGAATGGATGCTTAGAATCATTTAATCTAGACATAATCGATCTTGCTTGTGGAATGACTCAAAGCTCAATCTATTGTTCTTGTCATGAGATATTTGATCAACGAGATAATTTAAATTTTATTTCTTTTGTAGCAATTCCTTGTCACAAATGCTCCATCTTCTTTTCGGCCATGACTGTTCTAAATGACACAAACCATTACCTAACCTATTATTCCTCAAGCTTCCTTCCAAACGCTACCATCCATTTTTGGTTTGGACTTGTTACATACATTTTCTTTCAATCAAAACTCCTTTTCCCTAAAATATTCACCAACCCAACTCTCATTAGAGCAGCCTTAGACTTTTGCCGTTTGGATTTGCTTTCAAGGCAGCTGATTCTCCTCTGTATGATAAGACCAAAACATTCTAATCCTATTATAAGTACACATTCTCCAGCAGTTGCAGCAGCTTAAACTCGACCGTCTTCATCAACCCTTTTGAGCGTTATGCAGATGGGTAGGCATAGTGGTGAACCCACCATGGTTGGTACCTCCATAGCTTTGTTACAAGAAAGGTTCAGGCAGTTGCAGAAAGAGAAGGTAAGGAGGGAGAAGGAGGTTGTTAAGCTGTTATCCGGTTCAAATATCTTGTCAACCTCAAGAGACTTGGCCTTCAATTCCCTCTCACTTGGCCTGAATTTGGCTAATGCGGGTAAGCAAGTTGATAGCCATGAAGGCAGGTTGATGCCTGGTGACACCCAGTTGATACCCATTACGTTCAGAAGTTTTGATACTCCAGATGTTGATGTTGATACCACCCTTCATCTATAGTTTATTTGCTTGCTTTTCTCCCTACTTGAGAATGAATAGTGTGTATGAACTGATATCTATTGTGATCAATATATATGTGGAGAATGAATAGTGTGTGATGAACTGATATCTATTGTCATCAATATATATATGTTGTATTCTATTGATGAACTGAAACTATTTATACAGTTTCTGATGAATATGAAAATGACAATCCAGTTTCTACTCGGTTCATATCGGATATACTTAGTGCTCCTTCTTAATTTTTAATTTTCTTTTTAACTTTTGGTTTTCCAAGATAAATCTCATATTAGAGTGGTTGACTTTTCCAACAAGAAAACAACGAGATCGCCCCATGAATGCCTTTGATATCTAGGGGTTGTGGATTGACCATAGAGGACATGTTGATAAGCTAAGACTAAGACTCAGAATTTTTTTAAAGTTGATAAGGCGAAAAGGTTCTGTCAACATCTAAACCACTAAGACTACGATATGAAAGAAGACCTGTATGGTTAAGATTTAAATTACTACCAAATTAGACATTAAGTATTTTGGAAAGAAAAAAAAAATGAAGCGTTAAGATATCAACAAAACTGAGCGCCATGTCCGTCCTTTGTAAATGAAAATTAAATTTAAAATTATAGGAGTAATAATTAACGAATTTAGAGGGAAAAAAAAAAGAAAAAACCAAATTCAAATTTATATGAAATTAATTATTAGAAATATTTAATTGTCGTATTCTCCGAAGGAAAATATTAAATTAGTCGAACGACATCCTTATTTAATTATTTATTTTTATGGGAAAAAAAAAAACACAATTTAGGCGTTTCGTTGAACCCTGTGCTGACCCTACTTGGTCCATTTCTACTCGCCAAGACCCCGCCTTTGTTGTTTCTTCTCTGTAAGGGTTCGCTACTCGAACCTCTACCGCCCCTCGGTTGTCTTTCATCTTCAAGGCTCTGAAATTGCAAGCTACGCTACTTCATTATGAACCCTAATTCGACCCTTTCTGATATCTGACCTTTATCGCGGCTTTTATCGGCTAAAACTATTGAATTCTTTTGGTGGGTGAGAACTCTTTCTTCTTGTCTTAGCTTTCTGGTTCTGTATTTGAGTTGGGAAGTTCCTGCTTGATCTTTGAATTTTCATTTGATTCTGTTTCTTACTGAGATATGAACTTATAGTGAGGATTTGGGTGTTGTGGGAGATTGGCATGTTTGTCTTATCTTAAAACGTTTCTTGAGCTTTTGTTCCGGCGATGCTAGGAGATCTGGGTTCTGTGTTCAGTTGTAATTACGTTGTTGTTGGTCTAGTTTTGAACTGGGTTTGTTGCTTGTGGTTCTATTTCTTTCGGAGCCTGGTCGTGGATATCATTTTTAATGCAACCACAGCTAGCTGATATGGTCCTCCGTGTGCTTTTACTTTCGAACTTCCCTTCAACGTTTTTAAAATGCGTATGCTAGGGAGAGGTTTCCACCGCCTTATCAAGAGTGTTTTGTTCTCCTCCCCAACTGATGTGGAATCTCACAATCCACCCCTTTTGGGGCTAGCGTCCTCACTTGCACTCGTTCCTCCAAACGATGTGGGACTCCCCAATCCATTCCCTTCGGGGCCAACGTTGGCACACTGCCTCGTGTCAACCCTCCTTTGGAGCTTAGCCTCCTCGCTGACAAATCGCTTGGGCTATGATACCATTTATAACAGTCTAAGCCCACCGCGAGTTGATATTGTCCTCTTTGGGCTTTTTCTTTCAGGCTTCTTCTCAAGGTTTTTAAAACGTGAATGCTAGGGAGTGGTTTCCATAACCTTATAAAGGGTGTTTCGTTCTCCCCCAACCAATGTGGAATCTCACAATCTGCTCCCATTCGGGGCTAGCGTCCTTGTTGGCACTTTTTCCTCCAATTGATGTGCGACCCCTCAATCTATACCCATCAGGGCCTAGCGTCCTTGCTGGCACACCGCCTCATATCTACCCCCTTCAGGGCTCAGCCTTCTTGTTGGCACATCACCCAGTGTCTGGCTCTAGCTCTAATGCCATTTGTAATGGTCAAAGCCTACCACTACTAACTGATATTGTTCTCTGTGAACGTTTCCTTTCAAGATTCCCTTCAAGGTATTTAAAACGCGTATGTTAGGGAGAGGTTTCCACAACCTTATAAATGGTGTTTCGTTCTCCTACCCATGTCGAATCTCACCTATAATCTTTTTGGAATTCCAAACTCTTTCTTCTCCCTCCCTGAGTGCATTGCAGGAAGGGCTTTTCTTTGTGCACTCTATCCTGTAACTATAATTATGGCACTGTCTCTGCCATGGTTAACTTCATCAGGTTTTTTCTCTGCCTGAAACTGAAATCTGAGGGCTCTCTTCTTATAATGCATATGAGATAAATGATTTTATTCCTCGAAGTTATGCTCCTCTGCTCTTCACGTTTGGTTATTGATAAACACTAACAAGCTTTTTTTTCCTTTTTACAGTAAGATTAATGGGTGCCTCATCTGGTTCCAACATTCATCACCAACCTGCATCCAAGATGATTCCCACACGTCAACCGTCACGGCCAGAGGGACTGCAGACATCTCTTGCGTTAGTTTCCTCAGATACTCGACTATCACCTGAGGTACCGAGAACTAATTCCGAACAAGTTCATGAGTCTCCTGCTGAGAGTGCCAGTTCTCAGGAAACTTGGCCTATTGGTGGAGTAATGGGAAAGAAGATGGAAAATGGAAAGGCAGATAACGACTTTGTGGAGCAGTCGGTCATTCATCGTCTTTCTAGTTCTGATAAAGTCTCCCTTCGTGACATAGCACGAGACAGAATCGAGCTAATCGCAGAAAAGATGCATCGCTTACCAGAGGATTTTCTAGACAATTTGAAGAGTGGACTTCGAATTATTCTCGATGGAAATGGTGGTGCGCAACAGATAGACGAGATTTTTATTTTGCAGAAGCTCGTTCAACGTAGAACCGATTTAACTGCAAAGACATTGGTTATGGCTCATAGGGTGCAGCTTGAAATTCTAGTTGCCATCAATACTGGAATTCAGGCGTTCTTGCATCCAAATATTAGCCTCTCTCAGACTACGCTCATCGAGGTTTTTCTGTATAAGAGGTGTCGAAATATTGCTTGCCAAAACCAGCTTCCAGCTGATGACTGCACGTGTGAGATATGTACCGGCCGAAACGGTTTCTGCAATCTCTGTATGTGTGTAATATGCAACAAGTTCGATTTTGAAGTTAACACATGTCGTTGGATCGGTTGTGACTTGTGTTCTCATTGGTCTCACACGGATTGTGCAATTCATGATGGAAAGATCTGCATGGGCTCTTCTGTAAGAATCGGGACAGCGCGAACCGAAATGCATTTCAAATGCCCAGCTTGCCATCGGACGTCTGAGCTACTTGGTTGGGTTAGAGACGTTTTTCAACATTGTGCACCTTCGTGGGATCAGGAGTCTCTCGTTAAGGAGCTTGATTTTGTCGGTAGAATTTTTCGTGGAAGCGAGGACTATGGAGGGAGGAAACTTTTTTCAAAATGTGAAGAACTCAAAGAGAAAATGAAGAGTGGAGTTTTGGAGTCGACAGCAGCGTGCCGAGCAATATTGACTTTTTTTCGAGGTATGTATCGAGGTCTTTATATTTTTGGTTTTGCTTGATGATAGTAGATATAACCCGTCTTTGGTATGCTTTGAATGAGCTGAGATTATTTGAAAGTAGCTTTTTTTGGTATTTCGTGTTTCGTGTTTCTTTTATCGGGGTATTTGTGCCATTTTCTAGTCATATCTACTTGGTGGCTATGCACTTTTACTAGTAATAGTAATAGAAATCTAATGTCATTGGTCTTAATGAAGAGAACGAGACGGACGCTATAAGTAGTCTTGAAAACAGGGAAGAGGGAAGGTTAGCCGCTCCGCAGGAAGCGTGCAACCGAATTGCAGAAGTGGTGCAGGAGGTTATAAAAAAGATGGAAATTGTTGCTAATGAGAAGATGAGGAGCTGGAAAAAGGCTCGTATGGACGTCGAGGCCTTTAATCGCGAGGTTGAAGATAAGGCAAAGGAAGCAGCTGAAATAAAGCTCGACCGACAGAGAAAGAAGCTACAAATCGAAGAACTGGAGAAAATCGTTAGGCTTAAATGTGCAGAAGCTGATATGTTTCAACTTAAGGCGAACGAGGCGAAACGAGAGGCGGAGAGACTTCAGAGGATTGCTCTTGCAAAAACCGACAAGTCCGAGGAAGAATATGCTAGCAATTACCTGAAACAACGTCTGAACGAAGCTGAGGCCGAAAAACAGTACTTGCTCGAAAAGATTAAGCTACAAGAAAGTAGTAGTGGTGGAGCTGATCCATCCCAGATGCTTTTGTATTCTAAAATTCAAGATCTTCTCTACAGTTCCTCTAAGCCCGATTCAGCTAAATGAATGAGAATTCTTAGGAGCTCAACGTCGTGTAAATCAAAACGTTTCTGTGATGTTCGTTTGTTGTCTGATAATTTATGAAGCTGTTGTTTCTAGATCGTTCGATACTCGTATCGCTAACATAATCAAGTCATTCATTGCTTCTATTATCTCGAACTTAAGTAGATTGTTTATAACAATAATGAAATCGACAACATTACAGCAAACTACTATGCCTTATTAGAAAGGTTTGTGGTGATGGCCAGGCGGATGGATTCAGTGCAGGGGACGGTTCATCTTCTTTGCTGCAGACTGTAAGTATTTTTCCGCTTTCTTTTTGTTTCGCTGAGCTATAGTTTCGGCCGAACTCTGCTTCACAGGTGAAGTGTCTGAAAAGGAAGTTTGGTCGTATGTCATAGTCGTGCTTATACCATGACATCTTATGGACGAGTTTAAGCACACGTTTGGGGTGACGATTCGTGCATCGTTCACGCACACACTCATCTTTCTGCAGTTGGTTATCCTGATCATTCGATTTGGGATGCTTGATGGGACCAGGCTGCCGTTCGGGAAGTGTAGAAGATTGTTGAGCAGTAATGCAGTGGGGATAGAATGGCTTAGAACGAAATCGTGTATTCGTTCGGGGGAGACAGCAGTTGAGAAAGTTCCTGATCAGAGGGCATGAAGAAGGTTAGCTCTGAATTTTGCCAGTCTTTATGGGAGCTGTTTAGGATCTTGAGTAGTATGACAAACCCGTGGTAAGATTTCGATATCATGTCATCCATGGCTACTTGCAGGTCGGGTTGGTCGATCGGGGTAGCCTGAGCTTTTCCGACGAAGAAGAGAAGAACAAAAAACCAGGGAGCAGCCATATGGGGTTAGATCTGAAGCTTGAAAACTGTGTTTGAATTCACGAGATTTTTGGTGAATTTATAGCAGAGGAGCCTGGCTTGTGTTCTTCAGCGTTCAATATGAACAGTGACAGTTAGTTGAGAGAGGCAGTTCATGCCTCAAACCTTAATATCTTCGAAAGCATTATAATTTTTAAATAATCAAAATTTTATTGAAAATTACTGCAAATTCTCAAAGCTTGAGGGCCTTTCAGCAATTAAAAAAAAAAAAAAAATTAAGTCACGTGCTAATGTGGAATTCACACGTGTTGTAAACCATTGGCCGATGGGTTGCTGACAGCTTTGGATTATGCTTCGTTTAACAAAATTCATGATATTCCAAGCCCTAGAGGAAGGCATAATTTTTCCCAATCTTCTTCGGATTCAGGTCCTTGAATTTTCGATTGGAATTCGTTAATCTAGCTTTTCGATCATGCTTCTTTCTCCGGGTCGTTCTCCCCGGCATATCTCAGCCCCTTCGCCGTCGACGGTTTCCGAGAATTCGATCCAGAATCCGCGGAGTTCGTCTTCGATTACGCCTCAGAGCTCTAGGAAACATCCCGAGGTTCTTGATGAGGATACTTATGTGGAAGCGATTGAGAAGATTATTGAGCGTGATTACTTTCCCGACATTTCAAAACTCAGAGATCGTATGGATTGGCTTGAAGCGATTAAAAGTGGAGATCCGATTCTAATTCGAGATGCGCAGTTGAAGATCATGGAGCGTCGTGGCCAGAAGGTTAAACGTTTGAATCCTGATGGTAAGTCCCGAACGCCTGGTTCCACTTTTATGAGAAATTTTACCCCGTTTGATGAATTTGAGGGCAAAACACCGAAAACCCCCGGCGTTGGTGGAAGTGGAATTTCCGGTGAAACGGAGGAGGGTGATTGTAACGGCAAGGTGATGGATGAATCGCTGTCGCTTGATGAGTTTTTTAGGCAATATACGAGCGAGGATAATTTAAGTTTTTCAAAAATTCTGGACAAAGATAATAGGAAGAGAAAGGAGAGATACGCGTATTTGACGGAGGGTGAGAAGGAGGATGTGAAATCAATTGAGGATGTGAAGAGAGATAGAATAACTGATGGTTATGGGACCTCCGATCAGCCGCCGAGTACCTTGGAAGGATGGAACTACACTGCAAAAAATTTATTAATGTATCATCCTTCCGATAGAGGTGAGGCTCCACTGACAGATGAAGAAAGGGCTGTTAGATTGAAGGGCTTAACCAAAGAAATTAGCCGAGCAAGCACTCGGTTCCACGGTAAATTGATCGATGCGAGACCAAAAGACGATGGTACAGTTGAAGTGCTCTATACCCCTGTGGCTGGAACTACCCCACATCCTGTGATGGATCGAAATGGGGATCGATTGAAGAAGTACGATTTGGGGGATATGAGGAAGACCCCAAATCCATTTTATATAGAATCGGGGAAGAAGGCTGAGAATGGCTACAGTTTTGTCCGTACACCGTCCCCTGCCCCTGGTGTTGATGAATCTCCATTTATTACATGGGGTGAAATTGAAGGTACACCCTTAAGACTAGATCCTGAGGAGACGCCTATCGACATCGGTGGTACTGTTGATGGGCCACGATTTAATATTCCATGTCCACCTGCTCGAGATCAGAAGGCTCACTCACTCTCAAGGGAGGCCGCACGAAAGCTAAGGGAGAAATCAAAGATGTTTCAGAAGCCACCATTGCCATCACCTGTTAGAGGAGGAAGTGCTAGCCCAAGTGTTCGAAGGACGCTCTCTCCAGCCGCCCAGAAATTTGTAAGGAATGCAATAGCCAAGTCGTCATCTTCATTTGATGAAACTCTCCGTGCCAGTTACCGAGGTGGAAGCCCGAGTTCTGCAACGCCTAAAAGTGGGAGGAGTTTGTCTAGGTTTGCTAGAGATGGGAGCTTTGGCTCAAGGTCACCTTCTGTTAAAGAAGATTCTAATCCTGCTTGGTGATTTAATTTTTTCCAATCAATAGAACTGCTTCATGAATTCTAACTATTCTGTCTTGAAAATCCCTTCTGTTCAATGTCATTGTTAAGAGGTTCCTAACATTTTTGGATATTTCAAAGCTGATGAACCGCCCATTTGATAATCATGGAGTCTTAAAATATGGCTCCTATGATGCCGTGGCTATCACTTCTGCACTTAATTTCTGTAAGCGTTGATTTGATAAATTTCCAGCTTTCAATTACAAAGAACGGGGATCTCAAGTACTGGAATCATGGAATGACAGTTTCATCGTTCAAGAAATGTGTAGTTTTTTGGTTGAACTCTCAAATTGTATTATACATTTCTGTGGATTTGTATTCAATGTTTAATGGATGACAGAAGGAATCTTGCCTCCGAAGTAATAATTAGTAGCGTAAAATGAAGTTGTACAGGTATCTCACTCTGCAGTGAACTTAACAAAAGCAAGCCTTGGGATTGAGAAACATGCTGCGGGGAAGCAAGCGCCGCCCTCTTTCCAAAGCATTTTCCCAAGCCGTGCCGTCTTGGGTATGTTGCCGTTTGCCATGAAACTTCTTCCATAATTCAACTCTTTTCTAATTCTTGTTTAATTTCTATGCTCATTTTATGGTTCTTTTTTCCAGGTTGTGGTTCCCCGTCAGATCTGATTCACCTACTCAAATGCAAAAAAACAATATAATATACGAAGGAATACAAGAGGATAGCGACGAAAAGAACCCAAAATATGGTTCACATGACAAGGAAAAGAGGGAGAAGGCTAACCTTATTCTAATGGCCAAGGCGTTTTAGAAGTTCAAGAATTCAAGTTTTCAGCAACCGAGAACGTTTTTGAAGCCATATAATATGGGTATGGAGATTGCACTCGTGTGCATTTGACTTTTGACTTGGAATGAATAAAAACTGCACGAATATATGTGGACCAACTTGGACATTTTCCTAAAATCTTTGGCTGTTCTTATTTCTTCGATTCCTGAGATGGGTGTCTGCCATTTATGGCCATAAGAAGGCGTGACATTGTTCACTTTCGGAAATTGCTTCAGTTCAGAGAATTCCCAACTCATTTAGCTCTCTGAAACTTTCATAAATTCTGGTTTGAAGGTCCTTTAGGAGCGAGCTCTGTTGATGGAAGTGATCAGCCCCAAAGTCAGATCAGTGGCCTCGAGTCCGTTCACTTCACCGAATATCGGGGTTTTGCTCAAGATCAAGATCATTTCATGGTTGGATTCTCACTGTTTTTGAGATTATATTGTTTCATCTTTGATTTTGCCTTGTTTTCTGAATAAGTGGATTGATTATGTCTCAGGAGCCAAGAAACTGGTTTGCCTGTTTCTGTTCGGATTCGAGTTGGTGATAGGATTTTCAACCTACACAAGGTAAAGATAATTTGGGAAATATATCAGTGGAGTTTGTTCTCTTCTTTATTTCTTTCTTTCCTTTTTCTTTTCTTTCTAAATTTCATCTCCCTGCCTCCACCCAGAAGAAAGAAATGAGAATATTAAACTTTAAGCATGTTACTCTGCAGCATCCTCTCCTGTCAAAGAGTGGATACTTCCAGAAAAGGTTGAATGAATCGACCGAGTATGAGCTCCCATCGGACTTTCCCGGAGGACCCGAAACCTTTGAGTTACTAGCACTGTTTGTCTATGGCTCGTCTACTCTTGTAGATCCTTTTAACGTAGCAGCCCTCCGTTGCGCTGCAGAGTTTCTTGAAATGACAGGTAATTATTGTTCCAGTAATCTATGTGAGCGGTTCGATATCTATTTGAATCAAGTGGTCTTCCAAAGCTGGGACGATACACTAATCGTACTCCAAAAGTGCCAACAATTGCTTCCCTGGTCTGAGGATCTGTTAATTGTAAGCCGTTGCATTGAATCGCTTGCCTTCATGGCTTGTATGGAGATCCTTGACCCCGAGAGAAGACGAGACCAACCAGTCGTAACTATAGATGCATTGGCAAGTCAGGTTTGGAGCTGTGAAATGGTAAAAGAAATCTTGTGCCATGATCTTTGGATCAAGGACCTTATAGGGCTACCATTTGAATTCTTCAAAAGAGTAGTGGGATCCCTGAGAAGACAAGGTATGAAAGAAAAATATGTGAGCCCGATCATCGTTTTCTATACGAACAAATGGATTCTTTCCGGAAAAACACGCCAGTACTGGGATGGTACTGACGAGAAGATCGATGATGAAGCAAATGAAAAGGTTTCATTTATTTTACAAGGTCTTCTTGATCTTCTTCTGCCTAGGGGACAGAGGACCAGTAGAGTGGTTCCAGTCGGCTTTTACTTTGCCTTGCTTTCCAAATCACTTGAAATTGGCCTCAAAAGCAACAGCCTGCAAAAACTGCTAGACCACATAGCATCAGTATTACATTTTGCACAAGTGGAAGACTTTCTCCTACCAAAAGCCGGGACAGACTCGATATCTTCGAGCATCGAGTTAGCTACGATGGAGAAGATATTAGAGTCGTTTGTATCTTCGAACATGAAAATGAATCACAACCCTTCAGGAAGCAACTTAATTGTGGCAGAGTTGTGGGATGAATATCTGACCTACATAGCTCCTGATCCGAAACTTGGACAAAAACGATTTGTTGAACTAATCGATGAAGTGCCTGCGTCATGGCGAGAGAGTCATAATCACCTTTATAGGGCAGTGAATACATTCCTGCAGGTAAATCTTGATTAAACTCAACATTCTTCATGACATTACTGCTTAACAATCTGTTTACCTTTTCATAAAACTTGGTGTTTATTTGTTTTGCAGGCACAGTCACAACTTTCCCAAGAGGAAAAATGGGCAGTCTGCAAGTACCTCAACTGCCAGAAGCTATCACAAGAGGTATGCATTGAGGCTGTGCAAAATGAGTTGATGCCTCTTCGTCTGATAGTCCAGGCGCTTTTCGTTCAGCAATTGAATACTCAACAGGTGTTCAAAGAGTGTTCGAGTTCATTTAGGTTTGCACATTATGGAGAGTTCTCCGGGAGCCTTTCAAGCTCTAGATTTCCGAACTCAAACAGCCAGAATCTACGAGACAGTCCTTATACAGATGGAGCTGATCCAAGCCGAACCTTAAGTTTCTTGCTACACAAGGACCATATGATGCAGGCGCCACATGAATCCTCGAGAAAGGAGTACGAGTCGACAAGTTTCCGAATCATGAATCTGGAACAAGAGCTGATTTCCTTGAAGAAGAGTATTCAGAGGCAGACATTATCAGAGACAATATCGACCAGCAAAGCAGAAGGAAGAACAAAACTGCCTGATGTGGGAAGTAGTAGATACTCGAGCAAGAAACGAAACTCACATGAACAAGTGACGGGGTGCATCGGCTCGGTTAACTTTTCGACTGAACGAAACTATGCAAGTCGTCTGTTTAAGATCTTCAGAGGAATACGCGTATTTGGAGGTAGGAAACAGAAAAGAAAGCCAGGATTTCCCGCCCTTTGGCGTCGATCGATGTATCAGATTAACCATTGACTGGATTTGTAAATGAGAACTCATAACAGGTCTTTAGAAACCAGTTATGGAGAATATAAAAGAATCTCCTGGAAACTAAAGTATGGTAAGAAGTAAAAGAAGTAGCCATTTACTAGAACCTTTGCCTACATGCTTGCTTGTTTAGCTTTTGAGCGGACTTGCGATTGCGCGGTACTCATTTTCTAACGATAAGTGAGCGAAGCTAATTCATTCTTACGTCGCCTATGGACAAGTGACGTATGCTCGAGCCTCTGGCCTTAGTTTAAGAAAAAGGTTTTAGAAAACAAGGATAGAGAGATTTTGAAAGAAACGTTATATATGTAGCAAGAGAGTAACAATAATGACCGGTTTAAGAAAAAGGTTACGACCGGTTTAAGAAAAAGGTTTTAGAAAACGAACGCAGAGAGATTTTGAAAGAGACGTTATATATGCAAGTAAGAGAGTAACAATAACGGCGGGTTTAAGAAAAAAGAAAACGAGGGTAGAGAGAGTGAAAGAGAGAAAAAAGTTGGGTAGAGAGAGATTTTGAAAGAGAGAAAAAAAAAGTTTTAGAAAACGAGGGTAGAGAGAGATTTTGAAAGAGACGTTATATATGCAGCAAGAGAGTAACAATAACTGCCGGTTTAAGAAAAAAGTTTTAGAAAACGAGGGCAGAGAGAAATTTTGAAAGAGAAGTTATATATGTAAGCAAGAGAGAGAGTAACAACAACAGCTCTGCTTGGTAGGGAGAAGTTGACAACTAATCCGAGGCAGTCATATCTCTGTACAGAGAGAGTAACAACAACAACTTTACTCTGATAGGGAGAAGTTAACAACTAGTTCGAGACAATCATATCCCTGTACATTCCGAGGCATTTCATGTCTAGCAGGTCTAGACATGATTTTTCACGTTATAAAAACAATAGAACATGGAAAGGCATAAGGGTTTGGTTTGTCATGGGCATGCGGCCATGGGCAACACGCCTTGGACGAGCATGACCGTGACATCATACACAGATTTATTAAATTATGAATAAGAAAATTAGAAACGGAATCGATTTTTGAATAAGAAAATTTTATTAAATTCTGAATAAGAAAATTAGAAACGAAATCGATTTCTGAATAAGAAAATTAGTAACATAATTTGGAAATTATTTTATAATAAAAATGAAACTATTTATTATAATAATAATTAAAAAAAAATCATATTTTGAAACTATTTATGACAAAAATGATAATTTACAAATTCATTTCACCGTGTACTTATCTAGCATACGCCTTGATCACTCAGCCAAAGCAACAACGATTGGCAGAATTGATTATATTATATTTATTTTATAATATTTTATATCAAAAATATAGTTATAAACTTTTAAAAAAATTCGATTAATTAGAAACGTTAATATTTTAATTAAAATAGAGGGTTACAATTTTTTTTTGAAAAGTTTTATTAATACTCTTAATTTTTTAAAAAACTTAAAAAACATCTTTAAAATTTTGTTAAAAAAGATTCAAAAATACTCTTGCCGGTAGTAACACGTTTCAAAAATATTAATGAATTTCAAGGGTAACATTAAAAAATTTAGAAATAATCTATGAAGGATAGATAGACTGTTTTTGTCTATATATTAACGCTAATACTATTTTTTAAAAAGTTGAAGATATTAATGAAACTTTTTAAAGTTTTAAGATACTTTTTTTAATCACTTTTAAAAATTTAATATTTTCATTTAATTCTCATTTTTTAAGATTTCCTATCAAACTAGCAAAAGAGATTGGTATTTTTTCGATATTATTATTATTTTCTATCTCAATTTTCTTCCACTAATTCATTATGTATTTATCTAAAATTTCATCATCAATAAATACTATATCTATAGATATTAAAATAAAAATTTTAAATGATAAAAAATTTAATTAAAATTTAATTTTGTGTTTAATAAATTTTAAATATTTATTTGTCTAATAAATTATTAATATATTTGACATTTTTATAATTTTATATAAGTTTAAAACTTACAACAATAAATTCATTAATTTTAAAAAAAATTGTCACAAAAATCTAAATTTTCCACGCAAGAATTGAATTTACCCTTTCTTTTTATTGAAAGAAAACATTTTTTTATGCTTAACAAGAAATTTCAACAAAATTTAAGAAAAAAATGGAAAAAACACACTATAAATATTTTGCATTATAAAAAAA